GGGGGGGGGGGGGGGGGGGGGAGAGAGAACGCGAGGCCTGGCTCTGTCCCGGGTGCTGGTCATGTTGTCGCGAAACCTAAAGCAGGGTGCCGCCAACGGCCGGCGCCTTGCCTCTCGTCAGAGGGGCATGCTAGGGAGGAGCCTCGGGCCTGTCTCGGCCGCACGGCACGCCCGCCCGCCCGGGGAGGGTCCATGGGCGGGCGCGCACCGCGTTCCGCGGCCCGGTTGTCTTGTGTGTCCAGGTTCGGGACCCGGCTGTCGGGCTGGAAATCTGAAGCCCATGTGCCTGCGCAGGGCATCCGCCACACAGGGCCGCAACCCGGGCGACGAGGGAGACCAGGGGGGGGGGCGGACAGCAGGGGCGGTGCGGACACGACCAGGACGGTGGGGACCACCGGGGCCCTCGGTCGCCCCCACCCCCCGCTCCCCGAGGAGGAGGAGGAGGAGAATGTGTCCGCCCCCCTTCGAGTCCGCGGACAACATCCACCCCACCTAGGGAGAGCTCTCTCTCTCTCTCTCTCTCTCTCTCTCTCTCTCTCTCTCTCTCTCTCTCGCAGGGCACACCCTTGCACGGCGGCCGGCGGGCCGCTTTTTTTGCCCCTGGCCCGCCGGCGAGGGCGCCCGGCGGACGCCTCGTCTCCATACCACGCCTGCAGAGAGCCGGTTCCCCCCCCCCTCCCCTCACACACACACACACAGCCACACCCCGCGCCGCCCCGCTTCTGCAGCCCCTCGCCTCCCCCCTCGCTCGCCCCTTTCTTGCCGGGTCGTGCTGCCGCCCCCTTCCGCCCTCGCTCGCTGCACCCCTCTCCTTTGCCTGTCTGGCTCGCCCGGCCCCTTCTCCCGCGCGAGGTCCCGCACAGCAGTCCCTCGGGCTTTCCTCCGGAGCCGCCCCTCCTCCCCTCGTCCCTTTCCGACCGATTGCGTCGTGTGGGATCTGGCCGCCGCTTAGCCTCTAGAGTGCGCCCGGGACCCACCTCCGGTCTGCTGTGCCTCGCTGCCTTCTCTCTTTTTTTCTCTCCTTCTTCCACCGTTTCGACGCTCACTTGCTTACATGCTGCCCTCGGCTTGACCTCCATCAGCTTTGCTCAACATGCTCCGCGCCGGCACTCTCCTCTTCCGGCACCGCCACCAGGTCCGCTCTGTTCTCCGCCTGCCTGCTCCTCCCCTTGCCGTCTGTCCCCCCCGCCCCCGCCCCCGCCCCCGTGTCCGGGCACTGCTTGGTACTTACCCCATAGCCCCCTCCGCCAATGACCGCCGCCTGTTCCCGGGCCCGGCTCTTCTTGCCCCCGATGTCCTTGCGCAAAAGCAGGCGGCTTCCGTCGTCTCTCGCGCCCTGGCCACCAGCTCCCTCACCAACGATGAGCCCTTCCCCCGGCCCCCGCCCTCGGCCGCCGAGGAGCTGAACCTGCTCAATGTCCCGCCAAGTGTGCCGAGCGAGGTTCTCGCGCGCATCCTCCCGGAGGAGCAGCAGCCGGTCAACCTCTTCCTCAAGGCGTGGTCCGTCGCCCCGGAGAAGGTGGCGGCCGAGCTCAGCGCCTCGACCGGGCTGGACTCCTCCTCGCCCCTCTCCTTCAATCGCGTCCTGATGGAGGCCATCCTGGACCACCTGCGTCTTCCCTCCCCCTACACCAGTGCCGAGCATATGGCCCGTGCTGTGCGCGATGGCGAGCGCGAGCTCGAGCTCTTCCGCATCGCGTCCCAGACATCGGCCGAGCACCGTCAGCATGGTGACGGGTCTGTCATGTCGGAGCCCGAGGTCCTGATCCGGCTGCACAACAGCCACGTTCACACCCTGGACATGGCCAAGTACCGCGAGGTGTATACCGTGGCCTATCAGGCCCAGCGGACGGCCGTTCGCCAGACCATCTTCAACTGCATGTACCTGTCCCTGTCGGATCCGATGCCCAATGTCGCCCTCTCCAGCCGGTACCAGCGCGACCCAACCGTCGACCCGGCCCTCCCCGGTGACATGGTCCTTCCCTTCCACATGCTGATGGAGCGCTTCGGGAATAAGGCCGCCCTGGAGAGCCTGTTCGCCGATGAGTCCTCCAGTGGCTCGCCGAGTGAGGCTCCCGACTCGGAGTCGCTCGACGCCCATGCCAGTGAGTCCGGCACCGGCGAGCCAGCCACCAATGCCGACGGCGAGGAGCTCGCCTCCCCGGCCGAAGTGCGCCAGGTCCTGGCCAATGCCAACAACATGGTGGTGGAGCATGTGGCGCGCGACCTCTTCCAAAAGCTGGCCGACCAGGGGGTGCACATGTTCTCCCCCCGTCAGGCGAAGGCCTTCCACGCGGCCACCGGGGGCTTCATCTCCGACATGACCCTCGAGGAGATTACCACGGCCCTGGAGAACATCCTGCAGGACCCGGCCCAGCGGGCGGATCTTCTGCGCCCTTCGCCCGATGCCCCGGCGGATCCGCTGCGCATTTACGACTTCCTGGATCTGCTGGCCTCGCAGGATTTCATGGCCGGCGCCGTGGCCGGTGTCGATGGCGGTGTCGACGTCGGCAACAGCCCCACCGGCATTCCCTTCGTCCAGCACAACCCCCATGTCCTGACTCCCATCTCGCTGGATCCGGAGCCGACGGTCGGCCAGTACCTCCGTTGCCGGCAACAGGCCGAGGACCTCGCCAAGACGGTGATGGAGCTCATGGCCTCCGGCCTGCCGCTGGATGCCATCCACACCTCGGTCTTGTACCTGCTGGTGGCCAGCCAGCGGTATGGGCTGCTGTCCAAGCCGGACAACCTTGACCAGCTGCACGCCGTGAGCCCGGAAACCCGGATGTCCTCGATCCCCGGGGTCAGCACCTCTTTCGAGTTCAACAACTTCATCCGCGCATTCGTCCTGGAGTCCAATCGCCACCTGAGCACCACCGCCTCGCCGACCAGTTCCATCTTGCACGGCCGCACCAGCGCCGTGTCTGCCTCTGCCCCGGGTAGCTCCATCCCTCAGCCGCCCACTGTGGAGGAGATGTTCTCCCTGTCGCGCGAGATCAAGCAGCAGGCCGCCGAGCGTCCGATGACCCGTGCCGAAGTCAGGTATGTTTTTCCTCCCTCTCTCACCTCGTGGGATGCACTTCGGCTTTGGTGGCAATTCCATCCTGGATTTGCCTTTCTCTCCCCCCCTCTCCCTCTCCCTCCCTCCCTCTCCCTCTCCCTCTCCCTCTCCCTCTCCTCTCCCCTCTCCCTCCCCTAACGCATGTATTTCCTTCTCCCCTCCCGTCCCTCCTCGCTTCGCTGTTGCACCTCCCAAGCGCTGCCATGGATATCATGCTGAAGCGCTACATGCACCCGGAGGCCGGTCTCTTCTACGAGAAGATGCCCGCCCAGCAGCCGGAGTTCATCCAGCAAATCACCAAGACCCAGTTCTTCAAGGACATCATCTCCGACCCGAAGCGCCTGGAGGCGATCCTGCGCGAGGCCTCGGCCGTGCAGAAGGACCTCGGCTTCCAGCCCTCCGACACCTATCTGACCACCGAGGAGCAGGCCAAGCTGCGCCACCTGCGCGGCGGTCTGGAAATCTCCGAGCAGGCCCCCGAGCAGCACCGCCAGATGATGGAGGCCGGCCAGCGTTCGGCCGTGCGCCATCCCTTCCGCTTTGTGCCGAGCTGGGACACCACCATCGGGTTTGGCGTGGCCGGGGCCGAGGATTTCGCCTTTGCCCCGTCGCACGACATGCAGTTTGCGTCGGACATGACCGCGCAGCTGTACCGCACCGATGAGTACACCGCGTCCGACCTGCGGACCTCGGTGGCCGAGTTCCGCCGGTTGTCCGAGGCCGACCGGGCCGTGTCCTCCGAGTACAACCTGTCCGGGTACCGGGCGCAGACTCGCTTGTCGGCTTATGGCCAGCGCGTGCGCCGGTACCTGCGCGAGCAGGGCCTCGATGAGGAGGCCGATTGGGATCTGGTTCGCAAGGTCCCTCGGCGTGATGGCCGGGGATTCTTCCTGGCCCGGCGCCACCGCAAGCCGGTGGAGCTGCTGAACCTCATCCACCTGGGCGAGCTCCGCGAGGGGACCATTTCCCGGGTGGAGGCCGAGCGCATGGTCAAGTTCCTGACCACCCAGCGGCAGATTGCCCGCCAGTTGGACGGCGTGTCCGACCTGGCGGCGTACATCCAGCAGTTGCCGGCCAACCTGCGGGCCACCGCCTCCCAGCGCTTCGACAACTTCGGTCGCATTTCCCAGATCCTCGGGGCCAAGTCCCTGCAGGAGGCTGACCACATGCTCCTGGGCCATGCCTTTGCCTTTACGGTGCTCGGTCGTCGTCTGCAGGATGCCGAGATGCGCAAGCTCACCGAGACCCCGGCCCAGCGGGAGGCCCGCACCAAGCAGGAGTTCATCAAGACCAAGGAGACCGAGTACAACCAGTACAAGAAGTACCAGGTGATCAACTTCCTGGATGACAGCTTCTACACCGATATGTTCAACAACTTCCACCCGGAGCATCTGCACCCGGACTCGGACTTCATCCCGGCCATCCAGTACCATGCGTATGATCTTCCCTCCTTCACTCAGATCAACTGGGCTGCCTTCCTGAAGACGGACTTCAAGCGTCCGATCAACGACCCCTTCAACGACCAGCACCACCATGACCCGAAGCTGATGATGAAGCCCCTGTCAGTGCGCCGCGCTCTTGCGGATCATCTCCCCAGTACGCATGCCCCGTCATTGGCTACTCTCTCTTCCTTTTCCTCTTCCTCTTCCTCTTCCTCTTCCTCTTCCTCTCTTTTTTCTCTCTTTCCCTCTCCCTCTCCCTC